GCTCCTCGCCAAGTCAATCAAGTCGAAGCGCAGGAATCCGTGCAAGCTGCTGTGGCTGCACCTGCTGATGTGCGCCTCAACATGTTGTTCCCTGGCACTGCCCTGATTAATGAGACGATTTCGCAGTATCCTGGCTCACAAATCACCTCAGCCACAATAGAGTTCACCCTCGACAGTGGGGCCACTCACACGGTTCTCAAGGAAGAACACTCCTTCAAGCCATACGAGACAACAATCCGTCTACTTCGAGCAGACTCCAGTTTCACAACACACGCCAAGGGCTCCTCCACAGTTCCGTGCCCAGCTTTTCCTTCGGGCAGTGTGACTGGCATGTGTGTTCCTACACTACGCCACAATCTCATGGCCCAAGACAAGCTCCAACGGGCAGGCGTCACCACGATCTTCCCAGCACACTCGGATCACTGTGACCTCTTCGACCCTAAATCCAACAAGCTCCTAGCACGCTTCACACTCAACAGCAGCAAGCTCTACACGCTGCGTTCACCTGCACCTCTCGCCGCCCTCTCCCAAGCGCAAGCTGCCAGCACCACTCCGTGTTCGTGTCGCAGCTTCGCCAACCCAACCATCCTCTACCACCATCGCTTGGGTCACCCCAACTTTCGTACACTTGCCGACATCGTTTCCAAGAAATTCTTCTTGGCCTCCCGTCGGCGCTTCCTCCACCAACAGACTCACCTGCACCCACCTGCCTGGACTGCACCAAGAGCAAGCTCAGGCAGCAGCCGCACCCTTCCTCCCCATCCGTCGCAGCTGCTCCGCTGGACCTAGTGCACATGGATGTCTGGGGCCCAGCTCTAGTCGCATCCCGAGGCGGTCATCGGTACTTTCTTACACTAGTCGATGACCACTCGCGGTATGTTTCTGTGCACCTCCTGCATACCAAGGCGGAGGCACCTTATGTCACCATGGCGTGGGTGCGCCAGGCTCAAGTCACGTTCGGCACTCCTCTGAAGTGCCTCCATTCTGATGGCGGGGGAGAATTTCGCAATGGCAAACTCGATAACTTCTGTGCGGCCCAAGGGATTCGGCAAACCTTCACGCTCCTTGAAAGCCCGCAGCAGAATGGCATTGCAGAGAGCCGCAACCACACCTTGGTTCAGATCGCTCGCTGCCTCCTCAGTCACGCCAACGCACCACGGTCACTCTGGGAATATGCCCTCTTCCATGCGGCACTCCTCTACAATCTTTATCCGCATCCCCACCGGCCCGACACCAAACCTACCGCTCTCTGGCTTGGGGTCACGCCTTCCGCCCGCTCTCTACGTGTCTGGGGGTGTACCGCGTATGTGTTGCTAAGCCCCCACACGCGCAGGAAGCAAGGTGGCAAGCTTGGTCCCAAAACCCAGACTTGCATGTACCTGGGGCACAACTCCGACTCCCCAGACTACTTATTCCTCAACCCAATCACCAGACAGCTGATTCGCAGCCGTGATGTCGTCTTCGATGAGACACGCCCATTCCACTCTGCGACCACGGGCGAGCCTCCTCCACCTCCCCCGACGCTTGTATGGGTAGACTTTGATGCCCCACCTCCAGCCGTTCCCCCTTCTCCGGGGCCTTTTCCATCCGGCGTGTCTCATCCGGCCTCCCCAGTATCCTCCGCAGCGGCACCTCCTCCTGCTCCGCCTTCCCCGCGCGTCGAGCCCGGCTCACCAGTCTCCTATCGGAGGCGCCTAGTCCCTCCGCCCACCGCAGCCGCCTTCGTCTCCGGTCTCTAGTCGCACTCGTTCCAAGGGACCGGCTCCGCCTCTCGCCTGGGGACCAGCCGCCTTCTCCATCCGGTGTTCGGTCACCCCGCCTCCTCCTGCCGGGGGTGATGTCCCCTCCATCCGTATTCCCCCCCGTGCACTTCTGGAGGACAGGCATGAGGAGCTGTTTGACCTTCACGCGGTCTGCCAATTTCTCTCTCACATCTTCCCCGACATTACTTACTGCCCTTCCCTCAACTTCACCGAGAACCCGACCATTCCGACTCCTCGCACAAAAGAGGAAGCTCTCTCGGGGCCTTATAAGAAGGAGTGGAAGGCAGCAATGGATGTGGAGAACGAGGCGTTCATTCGCAACAACAGCTTTGACGATGTCGTTCCCCCTTCCGGTGTCAACATAGTCGGCGGAAAATGGATCTTCCGAGTCAAACAACTCCCAGGCGAAGCTCCACTGTTCAAGGCACGATACGTGGCAAAGGGTTTCACCTAGAAGGAGTATCTCGACTTCTTCGAAACATTCTCGCCCACGGCCAAGCTCCCGACTATGCGCGCTCTTCTTGATATAGCCGCTCGCGACAACTTCGAGATCAAGTCCATGGACGCCTTCTCCGCCTTTCTCCAAGGCCAGCTCAAGGAGGATGTTCACATGGAACGCCCACCGGGGTTTCCTGGCACTTACCCTGCCAACACAGTGTGGAAGCTGAAGCGCCCAGTGTATGGCCTCAAGCAGGCTCCTCGTGAGTGGCACAACAAGGTGAAGGAAGTCCTCCTCGCACTTGACTTCCATCCCTCTGCCTCAGATTCCAGTCTCTTCGTTCGTCACTCCTCCGAGCCCTTCTACATCCTCGTCTACGTCGACGACTCCATTCTAGCCGCCAGAGATCCAGCCGACATGGCAGCTGTCCAGTCTGCTCTCAGCTCCGCCCTTCTCATGAAGGATCTTGGTGACCTCAAGAACTACCTGGGGATGGAGATCACTCGTGACCGCCAGGCTTGCACGATCACCCTCTCGCAGGAGTCCTACATCGACAACCTTCTCAAGCGGTTCGACATGGACTCCAGTAACTCTGTCTCCACTCCACTCCCACTACAGCATCAGCTCACGGCCCCTCCAGTTCCTTCTCCTGACGCCTGCAAGGACCCGTACCCTGAGCTAGTCGGTTCACTCATGTATGCCATGATGTGCACTCGACCAGACTTGGCTTACCCGGTTAGTGTCCTCTCTCGGTACGTCTCCCCCGGACGCTACACTGCCTCGCATTGGTTTGCAGCCAAGAGGGTCCTCCGCTATCTACAAGCCACCAAGTCTCACATCCTCACTCTTGGTGGTACCTCTCCAGTCAAGCTCGAGGGATACACAGACTCCTTATGGGCCGATGACCAGACTGACAGACGCTCCTCCCAAGGGTACTGCTTCACCCTTGGTAGCGGAGTCATCAGCTGGCGCTCCACTCGGTCCTCTGCAGTCTCCCTGTCGTCCTGCGAGGCCGAGCTCTACGCGGGCACAATGGCTGCTCAAGAGGCACGCTGGCTCTCCTTTCTCCTCGCTGAGTTAGGCTACCCTCAGCAGTCGCCCACCCTGTGGTGTGACAACCAGAGTGCCATTCATCTCACCAAGGATCCTGTGTTCCACTCTCGCACCAAGCACATCGAACTTCGTCATTTCTTCATCCAAGATCTTGTTCAGAGTGACCAGCTGACGGTACGGTACATCGCCTCAGATTGCAACCTCGCCGACCTCTTTACCAAGGCTCTTGGCAAGGCTGACCACCATCGCCTTCTCCGTTCCATGGGGCTATGTGCTCCTTGACCGGGTTTGCAGTCTATGGGGGTGTGTTAGAAATAGACTGCAAATACCACTTTTGTATTTGTACTTTTATATGCTAGTTTAGGTTGTGAATGTTCTAGTGGGTTGGGGTGTACTCACAAATCCCAACCTCACCCAATTGTGATCCCCACAATCTCCAATTACCCAATTGGAGATTCCGGAGATCCCCATGGGGATTCCCTCCAATTCCCCCTTCATCCATTCTCTCTCACCTTGCCATGTACTTATAGAGCCTTGGGCTCCTTACCTAATCAATCATTTCAACTCTATTTCTTACATGTACACCCCAACCCACTAGAACATTCCTAACCTAAACTAGGACTTAAGGGTACAAATACAAAAGTTGGATTGGCAATCTATTTCTAACATCCATGTCCCTTGCATGGAATAGCCGCTGGTGCTATCATCACCTCCGCGTACGTGACAGTGACAAAAATCTTCTTTCAGAATCTTGTTGCGGATCCTCTTTAATGTCCACTGACTTTGGTTGTGTTGCAAGCTGAGTCCGTTTGTAAATTGCAGCCAAGACTCGGGCAGCAGACTGAGCATCTTGACACTGCTCAGGGTACGTGATGCTTGCAATCGCCAATTTCGCATAGAGGTCCCTCATCTTGTCCAACACGGGCTGCACAGGTTCATTCTTGCTCAGCCGCAGCGTGGACAGCTCCCTATCCAGCATGAGGGTAGTGGCAACCGATGTCGAAGCGTGCAGATCCTTGAGCACTGCCCATGCCTTTGGCCCACAATCAGTTTCCAGTAGCAGATGCATGATGTGATGCCTCTGGTTCAACTCCAAGCTTTGTGACAGTAGATAGTACTCAACAGAGGAATGTTGATCCTAGTCCGCTTGCTCTCCCAATTCGTTTGGCCTTGGCTCCAATCCAGTTATGAGCTTCAAGAGGCTAATTTGTTGAAAGTAGATCTGCATCTTCCATGCCCAATCATTATAGCCATCTCTAGAAAACTTCTTTATGGTGAAGTTCTTCAGCACCTCCTTAAGCAGTGATCCGTGGCCTGTACACGCTCCCTTTTGCGCTGCAACGCCTGAATCTCCGATTGAGCTACCTTATTGGGCTGAAGTATCACCTCCACAAGAGTCCTCCTTACCTCCCATTGTAGTTTAGGTCTCAAAATGCGTGATATTAGCCTCTCATACCAGCTGTTGGTGAGAGAAGGCTATTAGCATATGATTCAACGACTCCTTCCAAATTTCTGCAGCACTTCGTTATGACGCCCAGAAAACTTGTGAACTTCGGAAGCTACATCCAAAAATCTAATCAGTGAAACAATCTGAAACTCATACGTGTTGTATTTCAAAGCATCAGCTTTCCAATGAAAGTAAAATCACTCGATTTAATAGTTTAGCGAGTGAGCTATGGCATTTGGCGCACTGGGGGGTATTCTGCCTTAGGAGAACTTGGCAGTTCTCAGAGTCAAAATCATTGTGTTAGGATTAAGGACAGAGTCTAGGTGAACTTAGGAGCTAGAATTACTCAAAATATAAATCCGAAATTCTGGACAGAAAAGTCGTCTTCACAAGAAACGACGTCGACAAAACACTAGCCGTTGGAATGTCGCGAAACTTGGATATGTTGTAGCTCTTGATCTCAGCTACCGTTCCCAATTTGAATCACGTTGATTGATGAAGTATTCGCGACGCTATGGCTTTCGACGCACTAGGGGGTAAGCTGTAGGAGGAGAACTTAACTCAATCTCAAGAGTTCAATCAAAGTTCAAGAATCTCACAAGGAATTAGAAGGAGCAAGAGAAAGGTTGGGATAGGAAGAGAGGGATGAGAGGGAAGGTCCCAAGAGAGTCCCCAACCAAGGAAACCCCATAAGCACAAAGATTCCCTCCCTATAGGAACCCCAACTTTGACATTTGTCCCTTCCCAACCAATCCATCCAAGTTGGCCACCCTTGCCAACCTAGCTTGGTTGTTCCCAACCAATTTGCAGCTGTTACAGTGAGTGACAAATTTCCCAAACCCCCAAAGGTCCCAACTCCATATAGAGTCACCCCACAACTTCACTTTGTAACCGCCGCAATTGTAACGCAAGCTCATGAACTTTGAATCTTCATAGCTTTCGCGTTCTTGCTCCGATTGAAGGGATTCTCGTTGCGTCGGAAAGATCTTCTCAAGATCTATCATCACAAAAAACCTGCTCAAACAAAATAACACAAAACACATTCCCAAACTCCAGAACACATCACACACAAATTCTTGCACACGTTCAAACCACACATGCAAGTTGAAAAAATATGGGATGGGAGGCAGACAGAATGTGATAGCATATGATGACATCACACAACAATCTCCCCCTCTGGCTGCCAACCATCATCCACCATACCAACATCTCAAGCATGCATACTCAATGCACACTCATCCCAGCAAGCTTCATGCCCTTCCAATGATCCGCCTCCGCCAGACGCTTGGTGAAAATATCTGCTGCCTGCTGATGGGTCTTCACTATCTCCAGCCGCACCTCCTTATCAAGGAGTCTCCTCACCCAATGCCACTTAGGCCTTATGTGTTTTGTCAGCCCATGCAGACAAGCATTCTTGGCGAGCTTCACAGCGGACTCATTGTCACAAAACACAACTGTCGGCTTCTCCTGACCAACTCCCAACTCCTCCAACAAACGCCTTAGCCACACTACTTCCTTGGCCCCATGGTGTAAGGCCATGTACTCAGTCTCACATGAGGACAATCCCACCTCATTCTGCTTCTTGCTGCGCCAGCTCACAGCACCACCTCCTAGCAAGCACACATAACCCCCAATGCTGGTGCCATCCGCTTTCACTGAGTTGAAGCTAGCGTCAGTATAGCAACTCAAGAGCATCTCTCCACTCTTCACATCTGCAGCACCTCTCTGCAACCGCTGCCTCACTCCACTGTACTCCAATCCCACTGATGCCGTAGCGCTCACATAGCGGACCAACCTCTTGGCCGCTTCCAGCTGCTCATGACTAGGGCGTGAGACCACACTAGCCAATCGTGATGTAGCAAATGCAATGTCAGGCCGTGTATGATTTGCAGCATAATTCAGCGACCCAACCATCGAATGAAACAGCTTCCTGTCACTATCACCCACTACCTCCTCATCAGCACATGGCTCCACAGTAAACCCTGAAGGTAGTGGTGTTGCTGGCTTTCCCCCATCTTGCAGCCCATACTTCTCAGCCAGCCCCTCACAGTACTTCCTCTGGTGCAACCTCAGCACACCCTTTTCCACATCTCTCTCCACGTGCATCCCCAAGTAGTACTTCACCTCACCCATCTTGGAGCACTTGAACTGCATCTCCAGCATCTGCTCTGCGCTGTCCAGCAAAGCAGTGGATGCAGAAAAGAGAAGGATATCATCCACATACACCAAGAGCATGAGGATTTCATCCTTCTCCTGCAGCAGGAACAGGCTGGGGTCACACTCACTCTTCTTGAAACCCCCAGCCAACAGCGCCTCCTCCAACTTGTGATACCATGCACGAGGCGCCTGCTTAAGGCCATAGATGGCCTTCTTCAGCCTGCAGACCCTGCCGCTCCCGTCATCCAGCCCCTCTGGCTGCTTCATGTACACCTCCTCCATAATGATCCCATTCAGAAAGGCAGTCACAATATCCATCTGCCGAATCTTCCATCCCAGGAGTGCAGCTATCGCCAACAGCACCCTCAGTGTTGTTCCTTTCCCCACAGGAGCAAACACCTCATCATAGTCCTTCCCCTTTGTCTGCTGAAACCCCCGTGCCACAAGCCTAGACTTGTAGCGGGTCAGCTCCCCTTCAGGTCCATACTTGTGCCTGTAGATCATCTTGGAAGTGATTGCCTTCTTTCCAGGAGGCAAGTCACACAGGTCCCATGTCTCGTTCTCAATTAGGGACCCGAACTCCTCATCCTCACTCGCCTTCCACTTCTCCCCATTTGGTCCATTCAAGGCCTCTTCTCGAGTCTTGGGCTCAGGGATTGGTGCCCAGTAGCAGTGAGCGATCTCATCTTCCTCAATCTGCTCAACCACACTCCCAGCCTGCACCACATTCGGCTTGCCTCTTCCCCCATAGGTCAGCCTCACTGGAGGGCGCACATCCCTCCTAGGACGCTCAGGCGGGTGTGGAACTCGAGGTGGAGACTCATGCTGCTGCTGCTGCTGCTGCTCTACTTCAGCTGCTCCCCCTTCCTCAGTCACCCCAGACATCTCCTCCTCTGACACTGCAACCTCCACCTGTCTTGAAGGCTGCTGCACCTCATCTGCCTCCACAATGAGCGGTGTAGATGGAAGCTTCTGTTGCTGCTGCTTCCATTCCTTGTAGTACAGGGACTCAAGAAACTTCACATCCCTTGACACTGTCAACTTCTGGGTGGTCAAGTCCCATAGCAGCCACCCCTTGTGATCCTTTGCAATCCCCAAGTGCACACCCCATCTTCCAGAAGCCTCCAACTTCCCCCTTTTCTCCTTAGGCACATGAAACACCACCATGCACCCAAATGCCCTCAGCATGTTCACAGCTGGAGCACTCCCATACCACTTGACGTATGGGATCCACTCCTTATCTCCAACTGTAGCCAGCACCCTGTTCTTCACAAGGGCGACCTGCCTCAGTGCAGACACCCAAAACGGATCAGGCAGCCCTGCACGCCCAAGGAGAGTGCGTGCCCCCTCCTGCAGGGTCCTGTTGAACCTCTCAGCCACGCCATTCTGCTGTGGGTTGTAGGGCACTGTCAGTTGATGCTGGATCCCCTTCCTCTTCAACTCCCCCTCAAAATCAGCTCCAATGAACTCCCCACCATTGTCACTACGGATCACCTTCACCTTGTGTCCGCATTCCCTCTGAGCTCTCGGCATCCACTCCTTAAGGACAGCCGCTGCCACCTCCCCCTTGCTCTTCAAAGGGTAAACCCACACTGCCCAAGTGTGGTCATCCACAATTGTCAAGAAATAGCGGCTGCCTGAGAGGGAAGGGGCTCTTGTGGGCCCCACCACATCCATGTGCACAAGTGCAAGTGGGGTCTTGGATGGTCCAGTTGCACTGTTGAAGGGGAACTTGGAGAACTTGGTCTCCAAGCATGTAGGGCAGCTCCCAATCTCCTTCACTTCCCCTTTCACCTCCAAGCCCTTCAGGCTCCCATTCTTCACCAACTTCTGCAGCATAGGGAAGTTCACATGACACAACCTCTCATGCCATGTCTCCCAATCGGCCTCTCCACTCCTTGATGAAGCCTTAGCCCATGCCGCACTCGCATCCACACCAGCAAGCACCTCACCATGTGTCTGCTGCTTCTGCACTTTCTTGACTGCTTCCAGCACCCCATCAGTTGGTGCAGTTGCATCTCCTCCTGCTGTTGCCTTTGCCACTGCTGCCGTTGCTGCTGTTGGAGTCTTCCCATTCCAAGGGATGATGGGCAGCTGCCACAGGTCCTTGATGCAGCTGGTCTCCTCTTCCAGTCTCCACAGCACCTTCTTCCCAAGCTTAGCACGGCAGCTGGTTGGTCCAAAGGTCACTTCGGCCTTACTCTTCTGCAGCCGCCGCACAGAGAGAAGGTTAGCAGACAAGCCTTTAACCAGCAGAACATTCCCAAGCCCCACAAGCTCCCCATTAGCTCCCTTAACCTTGGCATTCCCAACACCAATCACGGGGAGCAAAGCACCTGACGCTGCTGCCACATACTTAATCTTCCCAGGGGGTTTTACCTCATCAAGCAAATCTGCCCGTGGGGTCATGTGACTGGTGCAACCCGAATCAATCACCCAGTGCGTGAGAGGGTGCATCACAACCTTTCCCACAAATCCCACATCACCCTCATGCCCATGCACATCCTCAACCATAAGAAACAAACCAGGATAGGCATTACCTTGTGCACCTTCACCTTGTGCACCTGAGCCTTGCACAGCGCCACCTTGTGCGCGTTCACCACTGGGTGGCTTCATGCCTGGAGGTGCCCATCCCTCCGGCCTGCTGAAGCACTTGAACCAAGGATGCCCTATCTTCTTGCAGTACCAGCAGGTGCCCTCCATTCTGGTACTCCCCCTGCCACTAGAGCTCCCATGCCCCTCATTATAGTCACCTCGGCCTCTACCTCTGCCAAAGCTCCTCCCACGGCCTCGGCCTTTCCAACCCCCTCTTCCTCTGCTGCGCCCTGCAGCTCCATACCCCTCAGCAGTCTTAGTGGCAGCACCGCCTCCCACATGGCGTCTGCGGAAGTCCTCCTGCAGAATCTGCTGCCTTAGCCACTCAGGTGTCCATTGATCTTGCTGAGAGTTGAGGGTGGGGATGAGGTTGTCCCAAGAGTTGTCCAACACCGAGATGATCTTGGTGCACTGCTGCAGCTGAGATACACTGCTGCCCGCTGCTGCCTGTTAGGATTAAGGACGGAGTCTAGGTGAACTTAGGAGCTAGAATTACTCAAAATATAAATCCGAAATTCTGGACAGAAAAGTCGTCTTCACAAGAAACGACGTCGACAAACAACTAGCCGTTGGAATGTCGCGAAACTTGGATATGTTGTAGCTCTTAATCTCAGCTACCGTTCCCAATTTGAATCATGTTGATTGATAAAGTATTCGCGACGCTATGGCTTTCGACGCACTAGGGGGTAAGCTGTAGGAGGAGAACTTAACTCAATCTCAAGAGTTCAATCAAAGTTCAAGAATCTCACAAGGAATTAGAAGGAGCAAGAGAAAGGTTGGGATAGAAAGAGAGGGACGAGAGGGAAGGTCCCAAGAGAGTCCCCAACCAAGGAAACCCCATAAGCACAAAGATTCCCTCCCTATAGGAACCCCAACTTTGACATTTGTCCCTTCCCAACCAATCCATCCAAGTTGGCCACCCTTGCCAACCTAGCTTGGTTGTTCCCAACCAATTTGCAGCTGTTACAGTGAGTGACAAATTTCCCAAACCCCCAAAGGTCCCAACTCCATATAGAGTCACCCCACAACTTCACTTTGTAACCGCCGCAATTGTAACGCAAGCTCATGAACTTTGAATCTTCATAGCTTTCGCGTTCTTGCTCCGATTGAAGGGATTCTCGTTGCGTCGGAAAGATCTTCTCAAGATCTATCATCACAAAAAACCTGCTCAAACAAAATAACACAAAACACATTCCCAAACTCCAGAACACATCACACACAAATTCTTGCACACGTTCAAACCACACATGCAAGTTGAAAAAATATGGGATGGGAGGCAGACAGAATGTGATAGCATATGATGACATCACACAACAATCTCCCCCTCTGGCTGCCAACCATCATCCACCATACCAACATCTCAAGCATGCATACTCAATGCACACTCATCCCAGCAAGCTTCATGCCCTTCCAATGATCCGCCTCCGCCAGACGCTTGGTGAAAATATCTGCTGCCTGCTGATGGGTCTTCACTATCTCCAGCCGCACCTCCTTATCAAGGAGTCTCCTCACCCAATGCCACTTAGGCCTTATGTGTTTTGTCAGCCCATGCAGACAAGCATTCTTGGCGAGCTTCACAGCGGACTCATTGTCACAAAACACAACTGTCGGCTTCTCCTGACCAACTCCCAACTCCTCCAACAAACGCCTTAGCCACACTACTTCCTTGGCCCCATGGTGTAAGGCCATGTACTCAGTCTCACATGAGGACAATCCCACCTCATTCTGCTTCTTGCTGCGCCAGCTCACAGCACCACCTCCTAGCAAGCACACATAACCCCCAATGCTGGTGCCATCCGCTTTCACTGAGTTGAAGCTAGCGTCAGTATAGCAACTCAAGAGCATCTCTCCACTCTTCCCATCTGCAGCACCTCTCTGCAACCGCTGCCTCACTCCACTGTACTCCAATCCCACTGATGCCGTAGCGCTCACATAGCGGACCAACCTCTTGGCCGCTTCCAGCTGCTCATGACTAGGGCGTGAGACCACACTAGCCAATCGTGATGTAGCAAATGCAATGTCAGGCCGTGTATGATTTGCAGCATAATTCAGCGACCCAACCATCGAATGAAACAGCTTCCTGTCACTATCACCCACTACCTCCTCATCAGCACATGGCTCCACAGTAAACCCTGAAGGTAGTGGTGTTGCTGGCTTTCCCCCATCTTGCAGCCCATACTTCTCAGCCAGCCCCTCACAGTACTTCCTCTGGTGCAACCTCAGCACACCCTTTTCCACATCTCTCTCCACGTGCATCCCCAAGTAGTACTTCACCTCACCCATCTTGGAGCACTTGAACTGCATCTCCAGCATCTGCTCTGCGCTGTCCAGCAAAGCAGTGGATGCAGAAAAGAGAAGGATATCATCCACATACACCAAGAGCATGAGGATTTCATCCTTCTCCTGCAGCAGGAACAGGCTGGGGTCACACTCACTCTTCTTGAAACCCCCAGCCAACAGCGCCTCCTCCAACTTGTGATACCATGCACGAGGCGCCTGCTTAAGGCCATAGATGGCCTTCTTCAGCCTGCAGACCCTGCCGCTCCCGTCATCCAGCCCCTCTGGCTGCTTCATGTACACCTCCTCCATAATGATCCCATTCAGAAAGGCAGTCACAATATCCATCTGCCGAATCTTCCATCCCAGGAGTGCAGCTATCGCCAACAGCACCCTCAGTGTTGTTCCTTTCCCCACAGGAGCAAACACCTCATCATAGTCCTTCCCCTTTGTCTGCTGAAACCCCCGTGCCACAAGCCTAGACTTGTAGCGGGTCAGCTCCCCTTCAGGTCCATACTTGTGCCTGTAGATCATCTTGGAAGTGATTGCCTTCTTTCCAGGAGGCAAGTCACACAGGTCCCATGTCTCGTTCTCAATTAGGGACCCGAACTCCTCATCCTCACTCGCCTTCCACTTCTCCCCATTTGGTCCATTCAAGGCCTCTTCTCGAGTCTTGGGCTCAGGGATTGGTGCCCAGTAGCAGTGAGCGATCTCATCTTCCTCAATCTGCTCAACCACACTCCCAGCCTGCACCACATTCGGCTTGCCTCTTCCCCCATAGGTCAGCCTCACTGGAGGGCGCACATCCCTCCTAGGACGCTCAGGCGGGTGTGGAACTCGAGGTGGAGACTCATGCTGCTGCTGCTGCTGCTGCTCTACTTCAGCTGCTCCCCCTTCCTCAGTCACCCCAGACATCTCCTCCTCTGACACTGCAACCTCCACCTGTCTTGAAGGGTGCTGCACCTCATCTGCCTCCACAATGAGCGGTGTAGATGGAAGCTTCTGTTGCTGCTGCTTCCATTCCTTGTAGTACAGGGACTCAAGAAACTTCACATCCCTTGACACTGTCAACTTCTGGGTGGTCAAGTCCCATAGCAGCCACCCCTTGTGATCCTTTGCAATCCCCAAGTGCACACCCCATCTTCCAGAAGCCTCCAACTTCCCCCTTTTCTCCTTAGGCACATGAAACACCACCATGCACCCAAATGCCCTCAGCATGTTCACAGTTGGAGCACTCCCATACCACTTGACATATGGGATCCACTCCTTATCTCCAACTGTAGCCAGCACCCTGTTCTTCACAAGGGCGACCTGCCTCAGTGCAGACACCCAAAACGGATCAGGCAGCCCTGCACGCCCAAGGAGAGTGCGTGCCCCCTCCTGCAGGGTCCTGTTGAACCTCTCAGCCACGCCATTCTGCTGCGGGTTGTAGGGCACTGTCAGTTGATGCTGGATCCCCTTCCTCTTCAACTCCCCCTCAAAATCAGCTCCAATGAACTCCCCACCATTGTCACTGCGGATCACCTTCACCTTGTATCCGCATTCCCTCTGAGCTCTAGGCATCCACTCCTTAAGGACAGCCGCTGCCACCTCCCCCTTGCTCTTCAAAGGGTAAACCCACACTGCCCGAGTGTGGTCATCCACAATTGTCAAGAAATAGCGGCTGCCTGAGAGGGAAGGGGCTCTTGTGGGCCCCACCACATCCATGTGCACAAGTGCAAGTGGGGTCTTGGCTGGTCCTGTAGTGCTGTTGAAGGGGAACTTGGAGAACTTGGTCTCCAAGCATGTAGGGCAGCTCCCAATCTCCTTCACTCCCCCTTTCACCTCCAAGCCCTTCAGGCTCCCATCCTTCACCAACTTCTGCAGCATAGGGAAGTTCACATGACACAGCCTCTCATGCCATGTCTCCCAATCGGCCTCTCCACTCCTTGATGAAGCCTTAGCCCATGCCGCACTCGCATCCACACCAGCAAGCACCTCACCATGTGTCTGCTGCTGCTGCACTTTCTTGACTGCTTCCAGGACCCCATCAGTTGGTGCAGTTGCATCTCCTCCTGCTGTTGCCTTTGCCGCTGCTGCCGTTGCTGCTGTTGGAGTCTTCCCATTCCATGGGATGATGGGCAGCTGCCACAGGTCCTTGATGCAGCTGGTCTCCTCTTCCAGACTCCACAGCACCTTCTTCCCAAGCTTAGCACGGCAGCTGGTTGGTCCAAAGGTCACTTCGGCCTTGCTCTTCTGCAGTCGTCGCACAGAGAGAAGGTTAGCAGACAAGCCTTCAACCAGCAGAACATTCCCAAGCCCCACAAGCTCCCCATTAGCTCCCTTAACCTTGGCATTTCCAACACCAATGACAGGGAGCAAAGCACCTGACGCTGCTGCCACATACTT